AAAAAAAAAAAAAAAAAAAAAAAAAAAAAAGAAAGAAAGATTGATCACTCCTTAAACCTCAGATAGTGCTTCAGTTTTGAGAAAATTGTACTCTAGCAGAGTATAGCTAGCTAGGTAGTATTCCTTGACCATTTACCAGGATTTCAGGTGTCTCTGCTGATGCTGATAAAGACTGATGCTTCAGTATATATATATATATATATATATGTGTATATATATGTAGATATAGCATATGTACACAGATTGTGTACAGTAAAAACATCAGGGCATATTTTGTTGCGTTTTTCTTGAGATGCATGAAGTGCTGTCACTGACATGGATTGATACGTACTTGTGTTGCATCACTCAGACTAACTGCCTACGAGGGGAATGGATTTTTCCCTAGCAAACCGTATGATTGTTACAGCCTTCCCCAGTATGTCCCAGGATTGTATAGGCTGAGCTTACTCTTACCAACAGGGTGCTCAGGAGCCCTTTGAGCATCAGGAAGGAAGGGTTTGCTTGCCTGTAGGGCAGGGGAGAGACTAATCACACATGGCACATGAAGAGATGTGAAGTTGATAATGACAGAAGCACAGGGCTGGGAAAGGAGGTTCAGCAGAGCAAATGGGTGCTGTTCCAGAGGGAACAGAACAGTGCTGCAGGGCAAAGCAAGCAGTGTGGACCGGTGGTGTCAGCCAACTCTGCCTCTGGGCATTTTTGAGTAAGGAGCTCAGCCAGGTAATAGGAAGTGCAGAGTCTATCCCTTACCACATACATCCTCAGCACGTGCTGATGCTTTTTTTTGTCAATGGCGCTAAACTTGCAGTCTTCCATATGCCTTCCTCATGAGAAGATCTGCCACATTTCCAGCCCTGAAGAGCATTTAGTGGAGCTTTACGGACTGTAAGAAGTACTGTATGACATTAGCAGGATTCCTGCTGGGACCCACTCTGGCTCAGCCACTCTAACATTTAACATTCTCTGCCCCTCTTCCCTTCACTTGCAAGTTCTGCTTGGTTATAAATAGTTTCAGTAAGTTTAAAGTTTGGTTTGTGTGTAGGAAGTCCTTACATCTTTTATTTCTTTGACAAATAAATTGCAATCCTACATTCTGGGGACCTCCAGGAAGAATTGGGGTGGCACCAGGGAAATTAATGCTGCTGTTCCAGAAGCCTGGGCCCAGGGAGGCTGGCAGTGTTGTAGTATAGGAAGTGATGCAGAAAATAGTGGTTTTTTGGTCCCCTCCAACATATGGACAATTTTGTGTTACAGCAAGCATCTGTCAAGGAATTTGCAGAGGTAGCAAGGGTATCCCTCATAATTTGCCCTTCTCCATTCCCATAGGCAAACGCATTATCTGCAGCAAGCCCAGGCAGTGGTTGTAGTTCCACTGGGGCTTCATGCTGACATACTTTGCCATCTGCATCCCCTGGCTTTAAGAAATGCAGTGCAAGCTCTGGACAGAGCAAGCAAACAGGATCGTGGTAAGGACGTGGGAGTCAGGTTTAATACAGCAGCTGTTCAAGCTGTTAAATCATTATGACTCAGGGCAGATAGGTATGAGTTATCAAGTACTGAGGATACAGAGTGATTTCTGTGATCTGCTCTGGGGGCTGTTTGCCCAGCACAGACCAGGCAAAACAATGGTATCTTGCAAGAGCAACCAGAAGTGACAGCATTAAAATGGGTTTGATGACCTACAAGGATGTGTACCACAAGGGAAAGAAATATTTTTTCCATTGATGATAGACAAGAATAACCATGACTCCAACACCTCTGAGGAGACATAACTGGGACAAGAACTTTGTGAATGGTGGATATTCCCTTTCAAATCAATGACGCTCTAATATGAACTGTGCTTTGGAGGCAGTGTGCACTGTGGGTTTAAACATCTTTGGACATACTTTTCCAGCTTGACGTGGCATTCTCCATGGCCTGTTTTGTTTTATGTTATAGTATCAGTTAGATTAAGAATTTTATAAGCAACTAGAACCTTGACTGTTTATCAAGGCAGCAGTGCTTTCGGTACTTACTTTGTTTCTCAACAGATGAATTAATTTTTTAATTGCCCCATTAGTTTTGTTAGTTTTGGTTCCCATATGTATTAGAACATCTGAATCTGTGGTAGATTAGAATGCCATGGCATTTGAAATACTGTCTGCTGAACAATCAAAACCTAGGATAATATTCAGTGTATCTTGTTTCATCAGGTGAAGTTACTGGCAGCTTGCAGCTCCATTTAGTTGCCACCAACTGATTTATCACAAACTGGATATACTTTGCATATTGGTATATTGTTGCATTTTTCAACTTTGAGGTTGAAATGCACAGTTATTACATATTTTTTAAAGTCTTTAATGAATTTGTCAACCTCTAATTGAAATAACCAAAATATTACCATTGTGGTTGATCTGAACTTTGTTTACTTTTTTATTACTAGCATAATACTATGAAATAATCTCATTTCCATAGCCAAATCTGGAGTCAAGACAGTGCTTAATTTTTTGCATTACTTTATTATTTTGCCCATGTTACAATTGTCTCATGTGAAGAAGACAAAAAGGAAAAATTGTGTTTAATATTTTTGTATCAGAATTTGAAGTAGCTTTTGCAGTTAACTTTGCCACAGCCTTCATCAAACTGACAGCCTGTGTTTTATTATCAGACATCAAATTAATTACCTGATTTTTCTAAAACTCTATTTGTTGCTGGTGGTTTTGTTCTCATGGTTATTCACACCACATGCCATGGGGCTGTGCAAAGATTGTTCTGATTGCTCCACTCTGAGAGCTCCATTCTGTGAATCTATTTTTAAATATAGTCCCTTTATTTTTATTCTCTATTAGTTTTCCATAAAGCATTTACTGTGATGAAAACAACCAGGTAGTTTTTCAGCTCTCACATGTACTACCATTAGGAAAAGAGGTATGACAATAGGGTGAGGTTAAGCTCTTAGTCCAAGGTTGCTTACTTACATGATGATGAGTGTAGGGTTTTGGTTTTGTTGACTCACTGATGATGGGGTTTGCTTGTTTATCTAGATACCACATGGTGTAGGCTGCAACAAACATAAGCAATAGGGGGCAATAATGTGACTAGTTCCCAACAAATCTGAAAAACATGAAAGAAAAAGCTTTTGCTGTTCTTGAGATTTCATTTTTGCTTCTTTGAGAATGCTTGAAAATGACCTTTGCAGAAACCAGTTAAGCTTTTCTATTCTTCTGCAGGAAACAAACTAAGGTTCAGATTGCCTCAGTATCATCTGTGATAACATGGGATGCTTCTTATCCAGGAGAGAAAGCATTATCCTTTCCTGAGTCTGCATGACATAACTTGGATCCCCAAATTGGAATAGGTACTGTGTCAGTGAAGATCTTAGCCTGGTCATTTGTTGGGAACTGACGTATACCAAATTTCATGAAGCTGCATCTTTTATCTCCTTCATTCAATCTGAATGGCTAAACTCAGGTGACACATTTCCCAGTGGTGCCATCAGTATTTTGTGTCAACCTGTTTTCTTCAGATTGCAGTTCAAGAATTGGAAGGAATCAAGCTGCTTTATAAACCTCTTGTTTTTCTTCAAAATCTGCTTGATTTGTCTTTCCGGAATGAAGACTCTTCGATGAGCATGTATCTTAAATTATTTAATGATGTATCACAAGACACAAAGAAAGAACATTGCATATTCAGCCAGCTTACGGCTTAATCGTATTGTTCCTTTCTTTTCTGGTATCTAATGTATTAGTATCATACATGCTATAGGAGGTACAGAGTACAGAAGAAAATATTTCTCTTGCCTCAATATTTTTAGAACACGGCATACAATTACTGTTTCAGCATATCAGGCTGACTGTACATTAAGCTTCCCCTGGAATTAGGAAAGTCACGAGAAAATATCAGATGTATGCCTTTTCTTCTATGGAGAAGAAAGTTCTTGCCAATAAGTCAGATTCAAATGGCCTCAAGATTGCTTTCTCCCTGTGTTCCTTTTCCTGAGTAAGTTTCTTAAAATAGAATTAGTTAAAAGCTGTAAGGTTTTATTCTTTGGGGTGAGGCAAGGTTTCTGAACTATTTTTAAGTCGTTCAAACTCCCCACACTTAATATGAAGGCAACACAAACATTTGTGGCAGAATAATTTAGGGAGTTGTATACATTGCTTTGGAGTTAGGAAAGAGCAGCAGCAGCATGGGAACACCTTGCACTGATGTCATCACTAAGAATTCATCTTATGACACTGCACTGGCTTTCCCTTTTTGTTCTGGAAGCACAATGTTTTCATAAAACTGATGAGCTTATTTGAGAGTGTTTGAGATTTCACCTGTGCTGGTGATGCTGAGTATTGTGACTGCTTTTTAATATCTTGACCTAGGTGATGGTCCAATTAAAACTTGCTTAAAAGCCTGATTAGATTTCATAAGAGCTGGTTGATAACCTCCTCAGAGTTGCAATTGTGAAGCCTTTAAATGTTTTTTTTTGCTTCATATGTAAGCAAATACACAGTGTAAATTTCTTCTCATTAGAACTACAGTCAGATTTGGAGTTTCTTTCCCCAGTTCTTATGCCTTTATCTCCATTAGTTTTATTTCCATTAGTGATTTTGTGGATTTTGGAAGAAGTTAGATGAAACAATGGCTGAAAACATCAAAGACAAATCTCTTCTGCTTTTTAGTTCATCTCTTTCATCCATTTGCCCAGTATAGCTAGATAATAAATTTGGAATTGCCCTTAAAGGAAACATGGTATTCTTCAGGACTAGCACTAGTCTCCCTCCTTACTGGGGAACTGTTCATGCATCTTGACACATTTATAGGATTTTAACTCCATATTAAAGCTGTAAGGAGTAAGATCTGTTTAGCTGTTTCTCCTTTTTGGTCACATTTTTTTTTTGACCATGCAGTAGGTTCACTTTTCAAGCAGGGACTTCACACTTAGTTTTTTGTACATTTTCCACCTCCAGCTGGCTCAGATATTCCCCATAGGTCAACCACCTTCTCACTTCGCATTTTTGATTGGCATTGTATGGCAAGACAAAGTGTTACCTGTGATTTTGGACATGGTGGGAAGAGCTAGAATTTGCAAAGGGTGATCACAGGGGCCTTATTGAAGATTGTTGGAGCAGTGTGGGGAGGGTGGTTAAATACCATAGCTTGGATCCATGAACAGAAAGTTCACTGAAGTCAAGTGGAGATTGCAGGGGTTTTAAGACTCATACTCTCATGTGTCTGCCTCTACAGTCATGTCCCATCTCATGTCCATTGCCTTCTTAAAAATGTTCCTTTTCCTTCATGGCAGTCTTTGCAACCCATTCCCAGTTTTTCAACTGACAGGACCAAGGATGCTGCCTACTTTTTTGGGTGAAATAATGGCTAGTGGGAAAGAGAAGAAATGGTGCTGGAGTAGTAGGCGCTGGTACAATTCTGTACTTCCTTCTGATAAGTCCTGGTTAATGGATGGGGAAATCTACGAAAGAGCTGTTGATAACACCACTTTTAAATAAAAATAGGACAACATTTAAATGATTCTAAAACTGTCTGTCACTGAGTTGGGATTAACCAGTTGCCTCCCTTCTCCTTTCAAATTGACTAGTTCAGCAAGGCAGCCCTATGTAAAGAAAGGGTTCCTGTCACCAGAGACCTCAGGGGTTTCCTCACACCTGCTTGTAACCATAACATAGTATTGTGAAGAGAGGGTGGAGTAATTAATGAGGTATCCACATGCATATAGGAGTTTAAATATAGAATTGACTATATTTATTAAAATATACCTAGATTGATGTTTATTGATTGATGTAACACTAAGTAATAAAATCAAGTCCACCGATGCCGTAATTTGACTCATTACATAGCACAAAGAGTTTCAGAGTATCAAATTGTGTAAATAGGTTCATGAAGCTGCACTGGGACTAAATCTTTTCCTGTGAGCAGCTGAGAGATGCTGCTCCCCAGCATTTTAGGTGGTTGTTTAATGTTGGCCTACTGGTTCTTTTGATACCTCTTTTTTCAGCACATAATTTCTCTTCAGTGAAAGGAAGGTTTGGCTTTTTGAACCATCAGAGCAACTGGCCCCAGGAAGAAAAGAAAGCAAGCTCATACAGTTAAACGAATGGTAGAATCTAGCAAATTGTATCAACTAGAAACCACTTTTTAAAATTCTCATTACTCAAGAGTCTGGCAGAGCCACATCTATTTAATTGCTTCTGTTCCCTACAAAGACTGAATGAAGCTGTGGTCTTTGAAGAAGAAATGTCACAACTGAGGCAGGTGTGCTGCTTGCGGGCTGGCTTCAAATAGTCCTCAGAGTGCCAGGGAACAGTCTGGACAGTCTGAAGAGGAACAATTCAGTCTGAAAGAAGCAGCAGAATTAATTTGGGACTCCCAGCTCCCTGCCAGTCTTACTTAACTGGCAGCATCTAGAGCTTTATCTAGTTCAAACTAAACAAACTGGGAAAATAGCAAAGGATAGTACAGGAAAGGAAACTGATAATTAATACATTTTTTAGTTATTGTATCTGAGGAATGGATTTTAAGACATTTTGTCTTCTTATTGCTTATGTGCTAGGAAAATAGAATGAGAAAATGAGAAAAAAATGACAAGTATCTGAAGCATTTTAGCAGCATAAAAATTGAAATCATCCTTACAGGAAACATTTGAGGGAATAAGTAGTTATAGGTATTGGAATATTTTTTGGCATGACATGTTTCAATATTTATTTATTTTAGCAATTAGAAGTAATCAAATAATTTTATCTTTGATATTATGTATTGTTTTTCTAGTTAGTAGAATAAGTGAGTGAAATTTTTTATTCTATCAGAGTGTAGATATTTCTGTTTGAAACCTGCTAAAAAATTGCTCCACACAGAGAAACATGAAGCTTTCATTGATCTGTGGAACTGAGTATCCTTGTGCAGAAAGATTTCAGTACCTTAGAGCATCACATCTGCTGAGTTAACTGCATGTCTGATCTCTTGATGCCCTTATTGAAGGGATCATTTTAAGCCTTTATCCATTACTTATCCTAGAGCTGGAATCCATCTTTTTCTCCCTCCCAAAGAAAGGTTTAGAGTGAATCATAGAAGTCTTCAGATAACTAGCTTTGCTATTCTGAACTATGTTGAACATCTCGGCTTTCATCCTTAGAGAGACAAGAGATTTAGGCAATAGATTATTAGGTGTTCATTCATATCACAGAGAATCTTTCAGAGGACTACAGTATATTATTTTTTCTTCCATGGATGGTTCTTAATTGCAACTTCCTCTTTGTTCTTGGAAGAAATAGATTATCTGGTACCTAAATTGAAACAAGTTCATTTCATTTCAGGATCTTTGCCAGGCCTCTTGAAACAGGTAAGATTAATGTATACTATTTTAATGGAAGGCAAAGCTTGAAAAGGCTGGATGGCTACATTAATTCCAGTACTACAAATGTTCCCCTGCCTTCCCCTGGTTAAATTTTTTTTTCCACAGAAGGCTCACTCATCAAACCAAGAATATACAGCTGTAAATATTCATTCAGCATTTCTCTGTTGGAAGACATAGTACAACTGAAGTGCCTGATCTCAAGAACTAAACAACAGTCTACAGTGGAGGCTGGGTCCAGAACTCTGAAGTTGATGAAGAAACACCCATCAAATGTAGTAGTTTGAGAGTAAGTCTTTAGGGCATCTTCTACAAGGAATCAGGTCCACTTAGATTTAATGATGCTTTTTGAAAAGGAAATAAATGTGGTTTGTATTGCTTAGGCACATAAAAGGCAGGGATTATTGTTAAACTACGAAAAAAACCCCACAGCTTGTCCTATATGTGGGTACTCAGCAGGGCTCTTCCTCAGTGAGCTCCAGTCTCCTGTCCATTGTACCTGCCCATGCTTCCATCAGGGGAATAAAGTCTGAGAGAGGAATAGAGGATATATTCCTGTCTCTATGTATTATATCTTCTGGAGGAGTTCAGTGCCAAATACAGACAGAAAGCAGTGGGCACCTCTACCTTTATAAGGGGGTACATCTCTCTTCTATATGAAAAAGAGCTTCCTTATACCTGGGTCAATCCACGACTGTATTGAAGTGCTTGCAGCCTGTGCTGGGTTGACCTTGGGCAGCTGCCAGGCACCTACCCAACCACTCTCTGCCTTCCTCAGCAGCACGAGGGGAGAAAACATGATGAAAAGTTTCATGGGTCAAGATAGAAATGGGGCCCTCACAAAGCCAATGGTTTTTTTAGATAAGTTCAGTTCTGACACCCTTTGCCAGGAAACAGAAATTTCTGTCATGTGGGGAAGAGGGCAAATGACGAAAGTGGTTGTAGACTGCAGCCCTGGAGATTCTCAAAATACTGGGATTGTAGGAAACTAGATATGGATTTATAATGACAGTGGAGACAATGCCCAGTGGTTTAGTGCTGGTCAGAGCTGCTCAACAACACTTGTAGCACCAGATAAGCTTAAAGAAGAAAATAAATCTTTTCTGATAGAAAAGAGTTAGGTTTTCATCATTATGTTGAGAATGCAGAAGAGACAACCATGTTCTGACTGTCGCTTAAATGTTCCCTTTGGAGGCCTCTGGAGGCTGTGGGGCTAGCTCACAACATGCTGCCTCCTGAGTTTGCCAGCTGGAGTTTGGGGCTGTATTTAGCAACAGGAACCAAAAGGTCAACTCCATATCACTTTGCTTTCTGTGCTGTCTTTTTGAAGTCAAACTACGACACTAATAAATGGGCTAACCAGTTCACTCTGTTTACCCTGGTTACCTTGCCAGGGTGCCTTTTTTTGAGATGGACTCTTTCTTTACATTTTTCTCTTCAGAATTTATTTCCTGGTACTTCCCTTACACCAAGAATGCAATTTTTGGCTTTAGAAGAGATCTAACTTTGATAACGTGCAGTTCTTCCTTCCCCATTCTTTGAGATTGAGATACAAAAAGCAAATGTAGTGAATTGCTCCTTCCCCTTCCTTGAGATTGTCTTCCTTTCCAAACTGTTACAATAAATTATTTGCCATGAGATATATTCACTGTGCATGTATCTTAACCATCTCTTTATTCCTGGTTCTCAGCTTTTCATACATGATGGCTACCTTAGTGGACATGAGAACACTTTTGTTTCCTTGGGTGCAGGAACCTGGATGAACCCTGGGCAAGCCTGGGACCAGGTTCGCCTTGCTCCTTCCCCTGGCACCATAGCATCCAGGCGGAGCTGTGTCACACTCTGAGCAGGGTCCACACCCAGACGTGATGATCATGCATCTGAGACGCACCATTACCACCAGACTTGATGCAGCTGCAGAGCCATATTACTAATATAAATTACAGGCTCTGCATTTAGAGTGGGTTTTTTTAGAATAATTTCTGCTTTTTCAAGATACCTTTTCTGTCTGCCCCTTTATCAGTTTTGGTGCTTTTGCTGTCACATTTCTCAAATTGGAAATAAATCAGTTGCAACAGCTCAGTGAATCTTTCTTTTCTTATGTTTCTTTTTGCAGATGGTGCAGTAGCTGAAACTGAGAAAAAGATTATAGAGGCTTTTGAGGTGTTTGACCACGAATGCAATAAAACTGTGGATGTCAGGTTTGTAAATACCTTCACACAGAAATATTACAGGATTTATTATAGAGATAAATAACTCCCTAAACCTACATCTGCTTTTTCAGAAAATGTAATTGAGAGTCCTTTTGGCCCTGATTAGACAGTTATGTCTTTGCTTGTTTAATACACATTTTGTGTTGTTCAGTGGTTGAGACAGGGATGCTGGGACTGGTGGAGTAAAGAGGCAAGAGGAAACTGCAGCTAGACAAGAAGTCTGAGGCTACAATTATTACTAGGAAATCTCTGCTCTGGTGGCTCACTTGGCACACTACAGGTCCTACTTCCCATATGGAACCCCTTGCTTTCAGGATAGTCCCAGCATGTCAAGACTTGTCCCTGCCAGTGTGGTTACCTGCTCTGGGTAGGTGTCTCCAACTGCAATGTCCTTCTTCCTCTGGAGTATTGTGGGAGGTGGATATCAGTCTGACAGGGAAGTGTTTTTAGAAGACTTGGAATAAACTTGTATATAATTTCATTATATAGTTTTAATACTACTACTGCTATTACTACTACTACTAACATCATAATGAACATAAAGTTGATCATATTTGATTGCACCAAAAGTCCGTTTAGCCCAGTACCTTCATCTGAGCTACTAGTAGTTACCTGGGGGAAGAATATAAGGAATTGAGCAAATATGCAGATGTACAAAAACCAACAAATACTGCAACATTATGATTTGTGGCACCTGTTTGTGTTTTTTGTGTGTCTTATAATAGTGAACAAGTGTTCTCTATTAAATCTTCTTGACACTATTAATGATTTCATAGCTATCACATCTGACCTTCATTACAGTAGTCTAAAGCTGAAGAGTCTGGATGTGTTTAATCTCAGGAGATGCTGTTCCATAGCTCTGGCTATTCTTTTTTTTTGTGCTCCTTCTTGTTCAGCTTTCTCATTTTTGAAATGGGGTGACCAGAACTGGGGGCGTGGGATGCACAAATAGGAGTCATGAGGGAGAACTGCATGCACTGTACCTTTAGCATGCATTGTTATGGAAATACAAACAAAATTGCTGTCTGAGTGAGTAAGAAAAAGTTCAGTGGAAGATAAAAACATGGACTGTTAGACTGATCAGGACAAGCTAGCTACAAGATACAGAACTAAAGGTATTCCAATTAAAAAATTACTAAATAATCTTAATTCTTGTATTTTTAAAGTTTGAATATTTGACAATGCAACTTCAACTTCATTTTAACATAAATATCCATACACATTACAATATGGCTTTTGTTATAAAAATACATAAAACACATGTTCATGTCTCACTGATCAGGTTCTGAAGTTATGAGCTGTTGTCATTAAAGTTTACTGAAGTAATTTTTCAGAAGTCCATTTACTATTTTCATAAGATTATCAATAGAGCTTTTAATTATAAATCAATTACTGAATATAAACACTACAAAGGAGTGTGAGAACCAGTGAAGAATGTATAATGACAACAATTTCACAAAGTCAAATTAGAAGACATCTTTAAATGTCACAAACATCTTCTCTACATTGTTAAACAGAGGTCAGAGAGGTGCAAAACATTTATGTGATGGTTTTAGCAATGCATGCTTACTAGTGTCTCTAAATTTAAGAAGCTACGGGTGCTTCATAGAAGTGAAATGACTTTCTAGTTATACTAGATGTGGGTTTCAAGGTACATCTCTGTACTCTGTACAGTTGCTTTTCCCTCACCCATAGGGCTCTTTGGAAGAGCGCTTGGCTTGAATCTCTTGACCCATCCCCAGGGAGGTGCCAGATACCTGGGGCTGCCCTGTTCCTGGCTGGGTGGTGGGACAGGCCCTGGCTGCCCACCCTGCCTCCACCCTGCAAGGGGAGCCCTTGGCACTACACCAGCCCTGGTGAGCCCATAGCCCTCACTGCACCATGACATATTAGTTGCTATATTTGTGTGTCATTTATGTCTGCAGTCCTGGCTAGAGAGCTGTAAGATTTGCTACATTCCTCACTCCATTATAGAATGGATACAGAGCTTGAGAAAAATATTACAACAATGAAATTATACAAATAGACTTTTAAAAAAATTTATTCATTCAGATAGTAAATCATAATGTGAGAGGGGACATTCAAAAGTATTTAACATAGTAAATGCACAATTTCACACTCATTTTTGTCATAGTACGGTTACTGACAAAGAACAATTTATTGTCTCATTATTCCTAGGTTCATAATGCAGGGCTGTATCACAATAATGGGATTATTAATGGCCGATTATCTTGTATCAGAAGGTGGCAGTACAGTACAATTCTTAACCACAATTGTAGAAGTATGAATGTTATTGCCTGAAATAGCAGATTCCTGTGAAGAACATGGAAAATTACTCTGGCTTGACAGGCCAGCATTGGTGTTACATGACTCCTAATGCAAATACAAGTTAGTAAGAAAATAAGCACAAGGAAGATGGTGGTGTTTCATGCTGCTTATGACACACCCTGAGTCAAGGGCTTTCGTGATTTTGAAAATCTTGTCACTGAAACATGTTACATGCAGAATAAAAACTACAGCCCAAAATTTTATTGCATCTATTATAAAACCTGTAGGAACACAAACTCATTTTAACTATCTTTTTTTATGGTAGCAACTACACAGCAGGAACTGCAGCTGCTGAACTAAGTGAGAGGAAGTGGCTGGGAATAAAATACAACTTGCTATCTATCTGGGTCCTTTAAATGCCATGTTATTACCAAATGTGACATGACTTTTTTGACCACAGACACTTCAAACAACATCCTCATGTTGGCACATGCATAGCCTGTCAGAAACAGCAGCCAGCAATGCTAGAATTTGTAAATTGTTTCAGGGCCTGGCTTACCTTAGTCACATTGCAGTTTTGCTGAGTGTGAGGTGAGGCAGGAGATGATGGCAAGCTTCCCATCTCTGGCACCCTGCAAGAGTAGAAATAGTGTGGGATAGCAGGGAGGCATGATTTGGGTTGGATGTTTCTCTGGGAGAGGCAGAGAATATTTACAAGTATCTTTTAGCTGGAAAAGATGAGAGGGAATGCAGGAGTGAGAGCATCAAATACAGTATATCCATACTAGAAATAGGATGCATGGGACAAGGATTATAAAACAATAGGACTAAATGTCTGATCTCATTGAGGCCAATGACCAAACTTCCATTCATGTCCATGGGGCACAAGGTTTCACTGAGTCATTTGAGCAGATGGCTTCATTTCATAACAACTCTATGTGTGGGACTGGATTTTGTAGCTATTTTTGTGCAGCCAGCTTCTCTCTTTTGTCTGTTGTAGTGCTTCTCACATGTTTTCAATTAGAATGGGAGCTCCTCAGGACCTATCTGAGGAGGCCAGAGACTGACCTGTCTAATTTATGTATGCTTGGTGTGCCACATTTGGGGTTTTACTGTTGTAAGATAATTTTACAAAGGTCATTGCTTCTTGTATCTGCCTAATAAAAATGGCAATCTCCTTTTTCTACCAGATAGACTGGTGAAGATGAAGAAACCACAGAGTTTTGAATCATGGGAACGACCAGCACTGTGGATACTTAGTCAAATGTGCTTGAATTGCTGTGTTGTAGAATCAGGCTGAAAATCACAAGCAATATTGATGCTTGTGTTTTGTCTTCAGTCACACCATAAGTCTCATTAGTACTTTTTTACAGCTTTACAGTACTTTTGTTTCTAGTCTGTGATATGCATCTTAAACTTTTTGGAGGCATTGCCAGTTTGGTCAGAATTTTATTTAGAGCCTCAGACTGCATCAGGTTCTGCAATAAATGCAAGCTATGAAGATAATTTGCAGCATAAACAGGGTGGTGATAAGCCACTCTGTTGGTCTGTTTGACTCTTTCAGAGCACAGCAGGGGCATAGCAGAGCTGCCTCCTTCCTGACTTTTTGTAATTTTTCCTTACTGCAGTTAGAATTTGTCTTTATAGCATTTAATGTAAACATATATTTTATTTGCTACCTTTCATCTCAGTAGGTTTCCAAGTGTTTTATTAACTGTATAAAAGTAGACTTCACTGAAATTAAGCTTAAAAATTAGAGGACAGCAGTTGAAAGTAACCTGTACACAGTTCATTGTAACACAGTAGTAAAGAAGATTTGAGGAAAGTCACAAGAAGAGTTATATTCTTCCAGAAAGCTCCAGAATATTTAATGTCTGTAAAAACAGACATTGCTTACTAAGATATTATCTTAAAAGTCCACATACATACGCTTGTGTGTGTTTGCATTCTTGTACATGCACACTCCTATACTCCTAGCCTCTTGTGTACCTGCGCGTTAGCAGGACACGGGAAGTTGAAAATCCCTTGATTTCTTAGCAACAACTAAAGCCATCAGTGCATCATCAGCATTCTTCTCATACCAAATCCAAAACAGAATTATTTTAGCTACTAAGAATAAAAAAATAGCTCTAGTACCACCAAAACAAGGACAGTGTCCATCCCTGAACTGATTTAGTCTGCTCTGGAAACGAGTGAAGCTCTGGAACACTTGCAGTACATTGATGATGTCATCATTTGGGGCAACACAGCAGAAGTTTTTGAGAAAAGGAAAAAACTAATCCCAACCCTTCTGAAAGCCAGTTTTGCCATAAAACAAAGGTTAAGGGACCTGCACAGGAGATCCAGTTTTTAGGAATAAAATTGCAAGATGGACATCATCAGATCCCAATGGATGTGATCAACAAAATAGCAGCTATGCCTCCTCCAACTAGCAAAAAGGAAACAAGCTTTTAGGTGTTGTGGGTTTTTGGAGAATGTGTATCCCAACTTATAGTTTGATTGTAAGCCCTCTCTATCAAGTAACCTGGAAGAAGAATGATTTTAAATGGGGCCCTGAACAACAAGTATTTGAGCAGATTAAACAGGAAATTGTTTGTGCAGTAGTCCTTGGGCCAGTCCGGGCAGGACAAGATGTTAGAAATGTACTTTACACCATGGCTGCGGAGAATGGCCTTAGCTGGAGTCTCTGGCAAAAATCATCAAGAGATACTCAAGGTCAACCCCTGGGGTTCTGGAGTTAGAAATTTAGAAGATCTGAAGCCTGCTATACTCCAACTGAAAAAGTGATATTGGCAGCATATGAAGGAGTTCAAGCTGCTTCATAAGTGGTTGGTATGGAAGCACAGCTCCTCCTGCCTGCTAGTGCTATGCTGGATGTTCAGAGGCAGGGTTCCATCCACACACCACACAAATGATGCCACATGGAGTAAATGAGTTGCATTAATCACACAACAGGCTCACCTAGGAAACCCCAGTCACCCAGGAATATTTGAAGTAATCATAAATTGGCCAGAAGGCAAAGATGTTGGAATGTCACCAGAGGAAGAGGTGACACATGCTGAAGAGGCCCCACTGTATAATAAACTATCAGATAATGAGAATCAATGTGCCCTGTTTACTGATGAGTCCTGTTGTATTGTAGGAAAACATTGAAGGTGGAAGGCAGCTGCGTGGAGCCCCACATGACAAGTCACAGAAGCTGCTAAAGGAGAAGGTGAATGGGGTCAGTTTGCAGAGGTGAAAGCCATCCAGCTGTCCTTGGATATCGCTGAGCAAGAAAAGTGGCCGGTGCTCTGCCTCTCTACTGACTCATGGATGGTGGCAAATGCACTGTGGGGGGGGTTACAGCAGTGGAAACGGAGCAACTGACAGAGGCAAACCTGTCTGGGCTGCTGAATTATGGCAAGATATTGCTGTTCAGATAGAGAACCTGGCCGTGAAAGTATGCCATGTAGATGCTCATGTACCCAAGAGTCGGGCCACTGAAGGACATCAAAACAACCAACAGGTAGATCAAGCTGCTAAGATTGAAGTGGCTCAAGTGGATCTGGGCTGGCAACATAAGGGTAAACAATTTCTGGCTCGCTGGACCCATGACTCCTCAGGTCATCAAGGAAAGGATGCAAAATATAGATGGGCTTGTGACTGAGGGGTGGACTTAACCATGGATGCTGTTGCACAGGTTATCCAGCAATGTGAAACATACACTGCAGTCAAGCAAGCCAAACAGTTAAAACCATTGTCCTCCATACCAAAGAGGTTAAAATATAGATACAGGGAGGCCTGACAGATTATATTACACTCCCACAAACCAGGCACAGCAAACGCTATGTACATGCTCACAGTGGTGAAAGCAACTACCGGATGGCTGGAAATATATCCTGTGCCCCATGCCACCACCTGGAACACTATTCTTGGCCTTGAAAAGCAAGTCTCATGGCAACATGGCATTGAGCGGGTATATCACATCCCCTGTCACCAGCCTCTGGGAAAACTGAGCAGCACAATGGGTTGCAAAAAACTACAATAAGAGCAATGCGTGGTGGAACTTTCAAACATTGGGATACACATTTAGAGAAAGCCACCTGGTTAGTCAACACTAAGGGATCTGCCAATCAAACTGTCTCATGCCCAAACAAACCTTCTGTGTGCTGTAGATGGGGATAAAGTCCCTATAATGCACATTAAAACTATGCTGGGTGTGCAGGTTTAACCCCTGCCAGGACCGGAGAGCACATTGCCATTGCCCCTTCCCCACCCGCAGCCAGTCAGACTGGAAGTTAAACACAGACCACGGCTAAAGTAAGAAGAAATTTAATACAACAGAGTTATGAACAATCTGAACAACAGTAGCAATGATAACAAAATAAACAGCAATAACATGGAACAAGATAAACGACATACAGAGAAATGCCGCTAGCTGGTCACGGAAACAGGTTCCCGCCACCGAGCCCACCAAAGAGCAAGGTAAAAAGGTTCTGCCCCTGGACTTGACATCAGCATAGTATGAATAACCCTGCTGGAGACCCCTTCCCCCTCTCTGCTAGGGAAACCTAACCCTATCCCAGCTGAACCAGGACACTGGGGAAGGCAGTCTGGGTTATTCCTGCCTTGGGTAAAGGCAAAGCCATTTGTGGGGTTACTTTTGCCCATGGACCTGATGTATGCCTCAAGCAGATTTGATTTTGGGTGAAAAGAGCCAATGAATTGCATTGCATGATGTTAACTGCTAAATAATCCTGTCACTGCATATCATCATTGCTATGATTGATATATATTATACTAACAGCATACATATTAGTATTCACCCAGGTTAATGAAAAAGGAACTTTGATGAAGTCAGGACTAGTTTCAGCAACTGGCACTCAGCAACTTTCCCAAGATTGACATCTTCAACACACAGACCATGAACATGGACTGTGCCAGATACACCAGCTACAAGCTCCAAACATAGCATACAATAAAGACTACACGCCATCCTCTTGCTGTGTCCAATGACACCCACTCCACCAAGTGAAGTAGACCTCATCCCTCCTGCTTTGAAAGACTGCATGATAGATGGAACCCAAAGTTATGAACTAAATGAACTCACTATACATCTTGGATGGATGGCCCTGTTTTGCTAATTATTAGGCCTAGCATAAAGGACACAGCCAGCATAAAGATGAACCAATAACCAAATTGTAGTTGATACAAAAGAGTCAGTACATGGGTGAGCACTGGGGGTACAAACAAGTCAGGCAGATTACACATAATCAACATCAATCCCACTGACCCCAATAATGACACCACACAACCAACAATGGGTGGAAAAAATGGTGAAATGCAGTTTCCCATAGAAGGGATGGGAGACAACTGAGTCAACAAGCCAAACACAGAAGACCAAGGAAGCCACACACTGAATCTCCACACATCCCACATTTACAAAAGCCAGACCTGACTGGAGCCCAGTCCCAGGGAGGCAGGAGGTCCTTCCCCAACAGGGAACTCTGCACAGGGCATCCACCTCACAGACAGACACTGCCCCTGCCTGCAAGTGGTCCCAGCTTTTATCCCTAAGTGGGACACCTGACCCTTGGTTACTTAATGTGGGACACCTGGGGCTCATTTACCCAATGGCTCTCCCTGCCAGGCCGGCTGCACCCTGGAGGGAAGCCTAAAGGCAAATGTACCCCCCTTTGTGAAGGGCTGTGAGAATCACCCATATGTCAACCTTAATTTGGGGCTTGGGATTGAAACCCCAGCATTTCAGGCCCACAGACTAAGAGAGTGATATATGTGTTTATATCAAAAATCCAGACAAGTGATGGTGATCAATTAGAATGTATTGGAAAACATGGATCCTCAGCATAATTTAAATGGTATGGAATAAGGGGAGGATACTGTCCTGGTTTCAGCTGGGGTAGAGCTATTTTTTTCTTCTTAGTAGCTAAAATAATTCTGTGTTTTGGATTCAGCATGAGATTTGGTATGAGAAGAATGTTGATAGTGCATTGATGTTTTTAGTTGTTGCTAAGAAATCAAGGACTTTTCAGCTTCCCATGTCCTGCTAGTGCGCAGGTACACAAGAGAGCTGGGAGGGAGCATGGCCAGAGCAACAGACCCAAACTGGCCAATGGAACATTTCATATACAACATCACGTTCAGTATATAGATGAGGATTGACCAGGAAATGCGCTCTCGCTTCCAGGTGCAGGTTTTGGGATTCTCTCTTCTTTGGGATTGCTAGCCAGGAATGGGTTGGGCATTAGTCAGTGGGTGGTGAGCAATTGCATAGTACATCATGCGTTTGTAGTTTCTATAATTATTATTTTAATTTATTTTACTTAAATGATTTTTTTTCTCATCCTATGAGTCTCCTTATCTTTTCCCCTCCAGTTCTCTCTGGTATTCCCTGGGGTGGGAGGGTGAGCGAGCAACTTCATGGTTTCTGGCTGCTGGCCGCATTTAAGCCACGACAACAAGCTCTGCATTGGTATCTCGAGTCTCCAGAGACACTCCCGAGTTGCAGATTTACTAACAGATCTTTTTCTTTTCAGAGAGATTGGTTCAATTGTCAGATCACTGGGTTGCTTTCCAACTGAGGCAGAACTACATGAACTGCTTGCAAAGGTAAATGTTTAGGTCTTTTGTATCTTTTTCAGTCTTAAACTTGCACAAGTTTGGCCCTTCTGCCTTGCTGTGTGGGAAACCTAAGCTCTTTTCCCAGAGTTTGGAAGTGATGCAGGCAGGAAAGTAGTCTCTCAGGTTGCCCTGAAGCAAGTCTTTAGACTGATGAAGTAAGAACATTGATGGATTAAAATGAGGAGTCTTTGACTCTTTTTTTTACCCCAGAAGGTCACTGTGATGCTGTGCCAAGGTGGAGGGTCATTTACAGAAAATGGAGGAAAAAATTGTTTTTTGCTGATGAAAAACAATGTCCTAAACCTCAGTTGGATTAGGATATCCAAACTCTAACCAATTCGCTCTTCTGAACATGCCAGGGCCACACACTGGATGATGAGGTAATAAAAATCAGTTCCTGACCAGGTGTTAAAATTTGCATCAAATTCCAAAAATACACAGAGAGAACACATAGTTTTTTCTCTGGGTCCTGTTATTTCTATCTTATAGCCAGACTTCTCAACTTTCTGTCCTTCATGAGGTCTTTCCCAGCCTTGAGATTTCTCTCGGTAAGTAATCTTTTCCTACTTGATTACTTAAGCCTGTGAATCAGAATTCAGACATAAAACCTTGCATGACCTAGCAGTCCTCCTGTTCTCCCAGTGATATGCAGTGGGTAAGGAATTTTGATCACGTTTCTCCACAGTTTTTTCCTATACTAATTTTTGTCTCCTTACCTCATGCTTGTAATAGAAAGGTTGGTGTGCTGGTGCCTTGGCAGGTTATGGTTAGTAAGTAGGACAAAGAAGTGGGAAAAGGATTTCACATTCTTTTTTGCAAACTAGTATACTGCCTTAAGGAATGGAAGATGCTGGGGCTGAGAGGTAGGTGAAAGATTTTTCTCTTTTGCATTTATAGGTCATGATGCTGGGAATTGATCTCTCTTGCTTTTTTCTTCCTGTCTCCTACAAAAATACGGATGGTTGCAGTAGCAGTCTTTCCTCAGAAAGCTTGTCTGGTCCCTTGTAGGTCGGAATTTAGTGTGAGAAATTTTGTGCTAAGTCTTGTGAAAATGACACAGCTGCTTCAGATAAGGAAGCACAATGAACCATCAGAGGAGAAGGATCTTTTAACATGATACTGCAATCTGTCTGCTCTGGGTCTGTACTCTCAGTACCAGATTGTCCCAGCTCCCGCTGGCAAATAAGACAAAATGGAAAGAGAGATTATGGTGCTTAATATAGATGATATTTTTAGTGACCCACAGAGATTTTTGTTTGCAGCAAATGAACAGTGCATCTGACTCAAGATAGAAAACTGAGAAAAGGAAGGGAATGCTTTGACCTCCCCTTGCCTTCAAGTCCAGGGGAACCAGGAGAGTTTAAGGCCTGCCTACCCCTCCCAAAGAGATTGGACTTCCTATTGACTGGATTTTTTTTCAGTTTTCAGCATTACAGAAAATTTGAGATAAGTAATACATAACAAAGTACAATGCAATGCACCTATGAGATGGAAGACTCTTGAGATACAACAGTATAACATATCTACAGTAGCTGATTATAAGGATGAAATTAAAGTACAAATACTGCAGAAAGAAAGAATACATTCAAGAGTAATGGTTAACCTTAAAGAACACTGAACTGGAAGTCCAGTCTCAAAGAAGATTTTGTGGTGCCTGTAAACGAAACGTACCATATATTGGCATAGGTTTAGTACCAGAAGAACACTGTCTTCTTGTAGAACCTTTAATATATTATGTTAATCACAAATATATCTTAATTTATATTAGATACCATTAAAATTGGCTAGGTAGAGTAAAAATTTTCTCTGTTGGCCAGTATGTAACCAGGCTATTTTTCCAGTATTTTTGCCCATTGTAAACTGCAATTCATTTCTGTCTCTCACTACCTGTGTCTCTCAGTCATCTTATCTTCCTATTAGCCTTATTGTAGCTAAACTGGCATATGTTGCCTTCAAGTTACTCATATCTGCCAAATCAGCATTCATATAGTTATTTTATCTCTAAAAATTATCATATATGGTTTCCTATATTGCCTTATGCTAAATGCTATAGTTAACAGCATATATTTAGGCCTACTTACAAAGTTAGGATTAATGATAAGCCTAGAGATGGTGAAAGCTTACTACAATGTCTGGAGTTTGAAAGCCCAGGTACAGTACACTGCTTCACCACAGATCTCCTGGATAACTCTGGAAGATGGTTTGTTTCTTTGTGACTCAAGTCCCCAGATGTTCTGTGGACAATAAGAGTATGGCTGTGAGAACAGAGGTATAAAACAGAATCGGTGCTACAGTACAGTTCTTACGGGAGCTGTGGATGTACCTAAAGGAAAGAAATAGAGCAAAACTCACAGAGTTTGAACAAGCAAATACTGTTATTTTCACAGTCACTGTGTGAAGGGGAGGAATTATGGAAAAAAGAAAATATCTATGGGAAATGAAGTGTAGGACAGGAGTGAGCACAAGGAAGAGTAAGACAACACATATACCTGCAAAACTGCATACTTACTGACTTAGGTGAGGTTAATATATTCAATTTATTCTCTCATCTATCAGTGTTAGAAATAGGATTAATTTTAACAGTTCAAGATACTTCTGGGCCTGTAGAGTCACTGAAATGGAAGCTGTTCCATCACTTCCCAGGACTAGGTCCATTGTCAGGAAGGACATGTTATTTCCACAGATTACTTTCTGAAGGCAAAATACAAATAGCGCACCAACAAAAAGAGACAAACCTGTGTGATATTTGTCAGTGAGGGCGGACACTTTCACAGGTATTTGTTACATTGAGCCCTGAAGTGCTCGTTGCTGTTGAGTTCTCGTATGAAAATTAGGATGACCTTCAACTGTTTGGATGAGCAGTTCTAAAGTTTTTTGACTCTTAGACATCATTTATATAACTTACCATCTTCATGGAAGCTTTGGGTCCTTGCTTTTGGTTGTTCTGCTTAATATAAGACACATCTATCTTATGTCCAGTAAATAGCAACCATATTTCTTTTCCCATCTCTGTGGCCTTCTGACCTCATACTAGTTGAAGTACAGATGTTCCCTAAAACATGCTGTGTACTTCTACATCTCAATATTTGTGATGCATGGAATAGTTCAGTGTATTGGCTAACTGTTATGTCACTGGAAAGAAGTTAAGTTTTGCCAGGTATTTTGTTACATCTTTTCAGTCAAGCAGTAAAACAAATGATTCTGTAATGGTAAAAGGTACCATCTGATTTAGCATGAAGCATGCAACGGCTTCATTTCCTCGCTAAAGATCCCTTCTGCTAGGTTCACTAAACAGAAAGGAAAAAGTGCTTTTTCAAGCCAATTTCAACTCTAAAGCAGCAAGAGGTGATGGCTGCCTGCTTTTTGCAACCAAAGCCCTTCAACAGCACTGGAAAAGAGCATGCAGCAGCAGTTGCAACTCTCTATTTAAGCAACTGGATGTATCAGGCATCACCACCAGCTCTGACCCAGCCCTCAAGAGGAAGATTTCTTACTTCATCTTTTCCTGTCTCAGTTAGGAGATTTCAAATCAGTGCCTATTTGAGCTTTCTTTCAATCTGAGCTGTGGCTGTGGAGAGCCTAGCAAGGTATCGCTGTGGTCATGTGAGACCACAAAGCATGCATCCAGTTTCAACACAGACAGGAACAGGCTAGCTCTGTTAAGAGGGCTCCTTTTGGGAGTAAAACTTGAAATTTTCAGGGAAGGGACATACTGGTATGATAGGGAGCAGTTTTTACCACATTGCTCATCTCCTGTGGAAGTATGGGGAATGCAGTGAGAATGTTGCTAGAAGTTGCTGATGTTTTGGGACTAATCCGTTAATTTATATGGGAAGCAAAGGAAAGCATTTCTTTGTGTGGTGTTTTATAGGCTGCCTTATGACTGTTTCAGACTGCCCTGACTGTCTGCTTGCTTTTCTGGTCCTTCCCCTGACGACTCTCTCTGGCTACGAAACATGTGGAGGCAACAAATTCCATCCTTGAGTGTACTAGACCGGGGCTATGTCCAAACTAGCACATTAAATATGCCCAGAAACATCCTTGGGTGTTGAAGCCAGCTGGCACAGAGCAGCTCATGACTACTCTGGTAAATGTTTTACGTGGAGAGGCTGCACAAAGCAGCCTGCTGGGGAAGAGTCCCTAAGGTCCTAGCCAGGCCTGGTGACTGCTGGGGCAAGTGTTAGGTGGCCCAGGCCAAAATCATGCCAGGGATCGTGCTAATGGTTTGCTGTTATGGGTGGTCACGTTACACAGCTTGGGCTTGTTCCAGGTTCTGCTAGACTTTACTAGTATGAATGCAGTCTGAATGTTTAAACCTCTGCTGCGTTATTGTGGCAGATAAGATCAGTTCCGAGGCATTCAGTTCCTTTGCATGAATGGCTTCTAAGCACAAGAGGGCAATATTGAGTTGTTGAAACTGTCTGTAATTGCAGGCCTGTATTTTAGTTGGGCTATTATTTCTTTCCTCGAGTTTCTTTCTATTTGATCACAAGCATTTCACTCAGATGTTATGGTGCCATGTGATATAAAAAACCTGATATAAATATTCAAAGTCTAACTGTAATTTTAATGCAGGAACCACCCCAATTTTCTGGTTTTCGTATTAGTTTGCTAATGAGTCATATAACCTGCCATACTTAAGTTTTATTTTTAGGTAGAAGAAGAAGAACCAACTGGATACATTAATCTGGAAAAATTTCTTCCAGTGATGACAAAAGTACTACTTGACAGAAGGTAATGGAAAGTGGATTTTCTGTGTCTGTAGTTTATTCCAGATTGACAGGGTCGATTCTGAATAAATGTATCTACAGTAATTTTATGTAAATGGAAGGAGTACAGATTTTTTTTTTTTATTTAAACTCAGTTTACATTACTTTGATAGATTTTGTTTCAAAATTACTTTGTCTACATAATTTTATGTTGTATGGATGATATAAATAATACCAGCTTATAATCATGAATCGTGATAATGGGTAGCTTTTGTATTTTTAATGTGAATCAGAAGTAACTTGCTATTCAGCATGTTTTGTGCATCTCTGAAATATTTTGTGTGCAAATTAAGGTCATAACCATTACTTTTTCTGAGCATGAGTTACAGTTACTGACAAGTACAGTCTGTTACAGTGTATTTTTAATAAGCTCTATAAATCAGCTTCATATTCATGTCTCAAAGTGACTACCAGGTACAGTTGAATGTACACAACTAGTACTGTAGAAGACTGTTAGTATAAAAGTCTAGAATAAAACCACTGTTCATTATAAAAGGGTACATAGAAATCTTTGCATATACACAGGAACTTGCACTATTTTGATATTTTGCACTAAAAGCAAGATTACTTATAGGGAATTTATCCTTCTTTTTAAAGATGGGTAGCCAGGGGTTTTGAGATACTCAGCCTTGTCCAATACTGAGAAGTGATTTTACACACAGAGGGACTTTTGTCAAAGGGTGTTCTACACATGAAATAGCTATCGGTTTTCCCAAAACTCTATCACAGCATCAAGAGGCAGCAGGGTCCATCTTGGGGCTGTGTTTGAGAGTCTTTGTGCCTGTGCCTGGACATGGACCAGCCAGCAGTGTTTGGGTCCCGTTGTGCCGGCACAGGGGCATTGCTTTCCCAGGTTCCTGCACCTTTGCCTTCTCTGGCCTTCATGGCACATTTCTGGCTCCACAGTGATGTTCACTGTTTCACAGAATGGTACCTTGCTGCTCTGGGCTTTCTTCTCCTCCTCCACACCCCCTCCACACAAACATACACGCACACAAAAAAAAACCCTACACTTTCCCCAGGCTAGTGCAGGCTTGTCAGGACCCACTTTATCTTTTGGGGCACTATGTCCATAGTTCACTTATCCAAGGGCACATGAGATTTGGATCACAAAAAACCAAGGCCTCTTAGTGCATTTGATTTTTAGATAGTAAAAGAGCAAGGTGGATCTGGATGAAACAATCAAGCAGTTAGAATCTCCCTGGCTTCAACACCTTCTCTTTAGTATATTGGTGAGAGTTTGCTGGGGTATGGAAGGTCTCCATTGCTGCACAGGGCTTCCTTTCCATCTCTGAAATCAGGCACACATATGCATGCATACATGTGCCCAGTTCTCCCGTCTCTCTGAAATAGTGACAGACCTTTTCTTTTATAGCTACCAGCCTCCTTTGCTCATCATCAGCTCATTAGACTGTCAAAATCCCACGAGGTGATCTGTTGCCTAGCTACCAGCGTACCTGGACAAAAGTTTATTTTCTTGGTTTGGCCATCTTCTGTTCAGTGCATTGGCTACATGGAATGATTCAGCTATTATTGATTCCTACTAACCCATTCGGCCAGCCCAGACATGCAGAAGCCATTCATCTGGCTCCTTAGCACAAGGAAAATTAAACAGAAGTTGAGTGTTTGATAGGCAAATTTAGTAAATTCTCAAAGAAAATAAGTTTTCCCTTTCCTTTAGTACTCATATTTTATTCTTTCAAAATAGTACAGCAGCCTGTGACTTAACTTTTCTGATTCAATGGTTTCAGCTACCAGCCTATTCCAGAAGATGTTCTTCTACATGCATTTGAGGTCTGTAACTAAATATTCAAGTACCTAATTGTTGGGAATAAGTTGCTGATTCTTGATTCAATATGGTTAAAACCACGTTTCATTCTTTTTCTTTAAAGGCGTTGGATGAGAATAAATGTGGATATATTACTAAAGAGGAGCTGGTCAAATATTTGACTGAAGAAGGTAACATGACTTTTGTAATATCGGTGTTTAAGTAAATAAACATTACATGTGTATATGGCACCTTGAGGTCCTCATTCTGCATGCCAAAACTTGCAGGAGTAGGTACTTTGTCTTCAAACAATACTGTTGCTGTGATGAGTGGCTGCAGACTAGAAAATTTCACTGGTGAATAATGCAGGGAAAGAACATTTATCTGCTTGCTTGCAGACATTATAAGATAGAGATTATCATTATTAAGAGTCGTAGTTCAATCTTGTGTGGATATTTTATGATTCTGTGCACATGTCTGTGTTTCTTAAGGATGTGACTCTTTCTGTCCTCCTGTAAAAATGTAGTTTAGATTTCCAGATGTTTCAGGTGGTTTCAGTGCTCATTCATTCCTGCATTATCTTGATCTTAATTCTAGTGCCGTATGCAAAGAAAGAGATTCAAAGACCAGATTTAAGTTGTATATCATGTAATCCTCAATATCCCTTGAAGAGCCTGCTTTTCTTGCATGAGTGACTCATGCCTGCGGGCCTCCAGTACAAAACGATGTGCAGGCTTTGCGCAAGACCTATCCTCAGATGGGAACCTTGTTCTCAGAGAGGGATGAAGTAGGCCATCAGCAGCTTTGAAGCTCCTAATAGAGAAAAACCAGAAGCCTTTCATGATGTAAATACAAGTGCAAGGATAACCAAATGAGAGATAATAATTCTAATGTACACATTAGAAGAATTCATTTGGACAAAAATGGTTGTTTTGAAATCCCTGTGGCAGAGAGGAACAGGCTGTTTTGGAGTCCGAACTAGAAGGAGGTCAGAAGATCCAGGCCTTCTGTCCCCTTTTCATTAGACAACTTGTTTGGTGTGCAGGACTTACACTGACAAAAGTGAAGGAAGCAGATCCTCAGTATTGCTCCTTTTCTCCTCTGTGTGAGGACCAAGAGAAGATCCTTGCAAGGGAAAAGCAGTGTAATTTGAGAGCCCTGAAGAGAATACTTATCAAGACAAAGTGTCTCTGCTGTCTTTCAGGTGAGCCCTTTACTCAGGAAGAAATGGAAGACATGCTGTCCACTGCTCTAGATCCAGAAACAAATACTATTCACTACAGAGACTACATTTCAATGATGATAGTAGATGAAACTTAAGATCTTCCCCTTTAGTGTTTGAGATCCCTTTTGGTAACAACAGTGTAGCTTGGCAGTTAGTTGAAGTATGTATTTTAAAGTATAACAAAGCTCAGCTTGTGACTTTGTGCTTATAATTAAAATAAAATCTGTGTAGCTATATTTTCTTGGGTTCTGTATACATATTGAAATGTATTCACACCTGGAAAAAGAGCTCTTGACAGAAATACTGTATAAGGTCTGGAAAAGAAATCATGGAATTTGGTTTGGAAATAACAGGAAAAATAATGTTAATGGAATCAAGAAATGACTTTACAATTGCTTCTGAAAAACTAATGGAAAATGAGACCTGTGAAAGTGGGTAATAAGTAGGTAAGTGAATACCTTAAAAGGACTAAAATTGTGAAGGCATGCTACTAAGATAGAGCTTTTATATTTAAATGTGATCCCTGTTTGTGTTTAATAAGGCATCAGGTAGGTTACTCCTTCTGAAATAATACAATAGATCAAATAAACTCTCTACAGTTTCTCGGTTTTGTCAAATATTTGTGTTTTGTTTACCATAGGCAATTAAACTGGACCAGTTAGTTCCATTTTATGCTACTGATCCACTGGCACGTGATACTTTGTTTCAATTTTAAACATGCAGGTAGCATTCAAACCATTGCCATAGTTAAATTTACAGAGTAATCCTTGACAACATTTTTGTTTCTGTAGGCAATAAACAGTTCCCCTTTCATAACCAATTTGAAAGTCAGGAGCTTAAATTGAATTGTTCAAAACTTAGGATCATAAGACTGGAATTTGATTTTCGTAAACTGATGAAGCACCATTTTTTGTAAGATGTTAGTGTAGAATATGTGTCTCAACTATCCTTGCTAGAAGACCACCACAGACCTCATTGCTCTCCTCACTTCTAGCTTAATCATTTTCTTGACTGCTACTGTACTGTTGTCCTTTAACTTGAGTTGAAGTTCTTTTCCCATGAGTTCTTGCCTTGTACATCATCTTCTAAAAAGTGACCAGCAGTTCTCAACTGATGACATCTCAGCTTGTAGGAAAAGGTGCTGTGGTCTGGTCCTCAATGGAACCATCTTGCACTTTGTGTTCCACACCTTCCACCCCCTTTCTGTTTTTCTACTCCCTATCAAGTTTGGTTTCCTCCTGTACAGTGCCCTACCACTCCTCTGTCTTAACTGCATATCCCAGCTGTGTGTCATCAGTGGACTTCATAGGCTGATGAAATCTGGGGAAGAGTGACACACCGAGGCATTGAATGCCTTACCCCCTGTCATGCCCTTCTAGTGGCAGAGCTGAGAACAGAGTGCAGGGCTTCTTATGTCAGGTCTTTTGCTCTACCCATGTGTTTCACTTGAGCTGGAAGCTCAGAGGGCTGTTTTTATATGTAGTTGCAAGGGAGCTGCTGTGCTTCACAGAGATTAGCACAATCTAAATGTGCTGATAGAAGCAATCTGAAAGAGACCATTCTTTAATTCTCTTTTTACTTTTCTAATCCCAAGCTGTCTTTCACTGATACTTTCTTAAACAGTAAGGCAACAAAGAGTTAATGCAGGTAAACAACATTGTTCTAAGCTGGGTTTCCATCTGGGAACCACTGTTGCACTGGTCCTAAGACTCTGCAATGCACTCTTGTTATCACATTTACCATGTATTTGATTTCTTTGTCACTAAGAATGAAAACCGAAGGTAATCATTAGTGTTATGTGAAAAAGAACCAGTTTCTGAAGATTAAAACAAGAGCAATAAAAGCCCATTAAGAAAAAATACTTTTATTAGTTGTCTTCAGTCTCTCTTTGGAAGCTGAACTTATTTTCCCTAGATGAATCCTCCTGTTTGATATGCGGTGTGTTGTACTGGATTTCTAACCCAGCTAGCATGAATATAGGTTTCATTTATATTCTGCAGTCTTGGAGCCACTGTCAGCCTCATCTTGGATGTCAGCAGGAAGATGCTTATTTCAGAAAATCATTTCATAGCTTGCAGTGCTCCAGAGAGAGCACAATTTGTTTCTAGTGGTGCTACCCCAGAGACCACCTCAGCTACTGCTGTGTCAAATCAGGATGCCCATATACAACACTCTTACAATTCATAGTGCAGATAGGTTCTTAACATATATCCTTTGATGATATATATCATTTGTTATTCTATAGTCCTCAAATTCAAGGAAAGAGGGTATTCTGGCAAGTAAAAAGCAGGATTGTTTCTGAATTTATAACACAGGAACTCCTCAAGCCCCATCTTCTTACACCTGTCCCCAAGAAAGATATGTGCAAAGAGAACAGATAAAAAGCAAGTTGCAGTCTTCACTTTGGGCATAAGCAACCAAATTCCACTGCCTGGAGAGTTTCCAATTTGGGGGTGCACGAAGTGTCAAGAACCAATCTCAGACTCTGTAGGATCCTAAAAACTGAGTGCTCCCTGCCAGCTAGGATCACGTAGCAGTGATTTGACTGGCTTGTGAACAAGCTGCCCCATGGATCTCCCCAGAAGCAGCTGAGCTGTGCTGCACATGACTGTTCACTTGCCCTTGTCTTTTATGACTTGCCAGCCGATGCTGTGCCCACCCATCTCCCCATGGTGGTGGTGGGCTGCCTAAGGGGACTCTTTGATGCAACCTGGGATGGGCTCTCTGAGTGCTCTGCATGTCTGTGCTCCCTGGGGATGAGCAGGGTCTGGAAAAAAAAAACCTTTTTCTTCCTAAATTTGTAGGGAAAAATACATTACTTTGTCCTCATCTTTGAGGTGGACAAACTGAACTGATGAGTGGTCTTCAACTGTCTCTTGCTACATGCCTCTCCTTGCTGGCTGTTTTGCCTCTTCCCTCAAGATCAGGAACCAAGATAAGGGAGTGGATTGCATGGGAAGCCTCTAGGGAGGAACTAGCCTAGCACCTGGACTAAATCCACACAGGGAAGCAGAGCCAAGGCTTTGAAGAAACTGGGGAAGTCAGAGGGGTTTTGTCCTAGTTGAAGGAGGGAGAGGGAAGGGAACTCGTCTACCCAGATGTAAAAAAGAAAATGAAAAGAAAAAGAAGAAATCAAAGAAACAAACCTTGGAAACTATCTACAAATACAACTGAATCAGCAGGCTGTTTACATCACTGCTGCAAGTTGTAGGCAGGACAAGACTTTACTTGTTTTAAAATTTAACTAGGTTTAGCTGTGTCAGGGCATATCTGGTATATGGCAGAGATCTTCTCCTCAGTCTTACTGATACTGTGGAGAAATTCTTCCAGCTGCTGAACTTGTGTGTGGGAATCCCAGTGCTCATATTCCAGGTAATACATTGCTTTGTATGTTTTCCTCATCATCTTGGAGTCGCTTCTCCAAAACACTTTTCTATCTGCTACTGACAGTCCCATATATTATATATTCACACCTGAAGGTTTCACCATTTTCCCATTGCAGTGCATACCAACACAGTATTTACAGTTCTTTTAGACTCTCTGCTGACTGTGGGCAGAAACAGAAGTTGCAGGACGAAACACCTAAGGGCCAGCATCAGACTTGGGACTTAGGGAAGGAACTGGGCTGTTCACCTGTGCACATGTTTTCACAGAGGTAAGAGCATGCAAAATGTTCAGGCAACAAGAATTTGCAATATTTTTCATTATTTCTCTTGTTTTAGTCTATCTTTTCTCTCTGTTCTCTTATACCTCATTTCATTAATTTAGTTGCATGATAACCTGTGAGGGTTGAAAATGCAAGAGAGTTTTGCTGTGCCCCACACTGCTGATGCCCTGCTGCTTGCTCTGACAGCTGCCCATATCAGGGTGTCATTTATTACCAGATCTAGACTTGCTGCCACTGCAGTCAGCACTGCCAGGACTCCCATCACAGGTAACGGGAAGAACCTAGGCCTTCGGTTTCAGGGGGGAAGGTATCTGGGGATGCTGGAGTTCAGCCAAGGCTGGGCTGGGGACAGGAAACTATGATGTTTTAAGTCCTGTAATATACTGTTATCATTGTGTGAAAGGGGGAGCGTAGTCTCGACAGTAAGGCACCAGGTTGGCAGCCAGGTTGCATTCTAGACTTTGTGAGAGATATTGGGTAAGTCACATAATCTCTCCCTGGCTGAACTTTCCATCTATAAAGTCAGAGTAATTACAAGGAATAGGAGACAAGGAGTATCTGTCTTGCCTACCCGGACTGTCGACTTTTTGTATTGCTAACTCTGATGTTTGCACAGTGTCTGGTACTATGATGTTCTGATCAAAATCAGTGCCTACAGACCTCCCTGTCACATAATTAATAAAGTTCTCAGCCTTCGAGTTGTTTGTTCCAGACTGTACATTCAGGTCGCAACTTCTAAACAAGTCAGCCTACAGCAAGCATGTTTACTTTTCATTGAACACAACTCTGTTTCATAGTGTCTTGTGGGTGTCACTGTAAAACTGACTATTCAGACATCTGGTCTTATTGTTGGAGGGTTTTTTCAGGCAGGTCACTACTAGGCATGGGGACTATGCTGATTTAAAAGCTAAATAAAGATGTAGTTTGAAACAAAGCAGATTCTCCTGTTTAACCGATTTTGAATCCCTGAGGCTACTATTTGGCTTAGGATAGTTCTGAAAGCCAAGAAAATGTTATTCATTATGCTCAAAAGATTGATCACAGCATTTATATCCTGAGGCCCAAATCCTGAAGTCCTCATTCAGATAGAACTCCCAATGACTTCAAAGGCAGTTCTGTCTGCAGAGGAGCTTCAGAAATAGTGATGTACTAGCTCACAAGGCACTGTAAAAGCCTTTTAGTCTCTTTAAATGATGCTTCATCTGTGCAAGATCTAACAAAGATATACAGCCAGCATGTAAGTTGTGTCATTGAAATGACCAAAACCATAAAACCATAGGTAGTTAATTCTTGTCTGCAGTAATGCAAGCAAGCAAGATTCAGCAAGAGTCAGCAGACAGAACTTTTCCATATTGTTCAGAGTATAAAAAATAAAATCTAGGGATGCTACTGCATCAGGCTTAAAATTACCTCTTCCTGCTGTTATCCTGGAAACACTGAAGCCTTAAAAATACACACATGTTGCTTCTGTGATTTCATATACTGAAACAATTCCTTTTATCCTGGATTCTAACTATTCTTTCTAGAAGCCCTTTTAGAACAGGCTTCCCTGTTGTAAATACCTGCCTAAATGATAACATAAAAGGAAACAGTTTGAAATAAGATGCTTCATGTAGATGAAATATGCCTTTGCATATTTTCTGTCAAAAGAAATCTCTTTCCTGCCAAAGATAACAACATCCTTCAGTGCAGAATAGGTCCTAAGCTTTGCTTTATGATATGCAGCCATGTCTTCCCCTAGACACCAGCCTAGCAATTAAAATGACCAGAGTGGAGTTCTCGGGTTTCCTAGAGGTGTGATTTGGAGCTGATAATGCAATGCAAGAATGTGAAGCTATCTGAGGTCTTCCACAGGTGCAAGTTACCTTCCACAGGTGCAAGTTTTATGCATTACAATAGTTTGGGTTTTACAGTGATGGAGAACTAAGGATGAAGTATGGTCCAGATGGAAACTAATAGCAAAGACTGAAATTTAGCTTCATTTTAATTTATAGTAACACAGCCAAGGAAAATCTCAGTAGTTCAACTTTAAGGACAACTTTGTTGACATACCCATTTTCATGGTGAAGCTGCACTCAATATTGCAGACACAAAACTAAAAAACCTTCACTGTAGCCGGTTTTCATATGGTGTTAAGTTGTTGCCTTGAGAAGCAATGCCATTCTTCAGAGCTCCTCCAAACACAAGAGTTGCATTCAAATTCAACTCAACTGTTGAATTTGAATGCAATTCAACTCAATTAATTTCAACTGATTGAAAACTCAGAACCTGTCTCTAGTTCTTTGGGCTTCATCAAAGTTGTAGAGATAGGTTGTTAAGCTGGATATAATGTTTTACCACCAGCTGTTGAGATCAGTAGGGGAGAACTTCCTGAAGAAGTTGTGTAACTAGGAGTGGGAAGAATACCATTCTAAATACAGCCCCCTTGACTCAACCCAGTCCTAGAAAGAAAGAAAGAGAAAAAGAAAGAAGAGCTCCATTGCTCCACCAGAGCCACAGTTTGTTGAGCTTCAGGATATAAGACATGTCTGTTTGCTCAAGGTAGCTATTACTCAGTTTACAGTGGCTGGCCTGAGTCTGAGGTTCAACTGTTTTGAATGTGGTTTGTTTTCGTTGGTAGTTTCCTTTGGTGCCGCCTCATCTGGAGGCACAATGCAGTGCTGCTGTGTCATTCACCTTTCTATTACAGTAGACCTACGAAGCTCAAATTTGGAATAGTGTGTGTTCTAAAAAACCCAAGTGTCTAATCTTAAGAACATCTATGATGAAATGCAGGGGACACACACAATAAAACCAGTTACATACTCTTTTTATAGTTATTTTATTTAATTACAGTGTTTTAAAATTTATATAAACAAGCTATGAGTTTCCTCTGTTGCTCCTTTGCCAAGACAGGTTTCTTTTTGATGTCACACCAAAGTACATATCCTGAAAGCATCTGTAAAAATGCAGTGGAAACAGAGGTAAAAGGAACCGTTGAAAGCATGTAAGCACTGGTTTTATACTGATGTGAAGAAAGAGATTGTTCCTCTTCATTTCCTATTGGCAATGTGCTGTTGGGCTTTCAGGGTGTTCTCACAGAAATCTTGTTGCTCCATGGGGTAGAACTGGCCAGGAAGAAAGGGGCCATGTGGAAATATGTCCTTTAGATTTTCTCATATAAATGTTTGAAACTTTTTTTTTTTTTTTTCACATGGAGGGATGCCATGTCTTTTGGCAAAGTAGTATAATATGAGATGCGCTTGTTGGTGAAGTCTCTTTTCCTCTTCAAAAATGTGCCACCTCTCCAGCATAAAACAGTGGGTTAGTTGGGGTGGGGGCATCTTTCCCAGGAATTTACTCAGGTAAATGAACACCGGGGACAGTAGCAGACACTGCAGAGCTTAAAAAAAAAAAAGAAAAAAAAAGTAAGAGACAAATCTTTTCGTATGGATAGTTCTAATTGCCAAGGGCATGTTCTTCTCCCTGGTAGAGATGATTTGGCAATCACCTACTGAGAAGATGAGCTCCAGCAGGCAGAGGGGAATAATGATAACTTCTTTT